GCAAACTGCCTTGCGGACCAAGGTTGAAAAATACTGCATTAAATTGCACATAAAATAACATGACCATAAATGGTAAATAGGCAATGCAAGAGGCAAGTAACAAAAACATTTTGTTTAATTTCAACATTTGAGTGAACACAAAAAATTATGAGTAGGTCACTGTTACAGTAATGGTAGTAAACACTACTTAGACAAAATGCCAGAAATTTACACGGTTAAATATTTCTGGAGTGTTGTGCCAAGGTCAACTTTATACAAAGATCAAGTGGATGCATTTGTGTGTGTGTGATACCTCATTTGTACAGAAATTTTGCCCTTCTGTCCTTCTGAGTGGCAAAGCTCTCGATGACCTTTTTATTGAAGTCAGGAATGTTTGTGACAAGCTTTTTTCCCATGGAGAGCATGGCAAGAGCATTCAGCCCATCCTGTGTCGTGGTGTTCCTCAGGAAAGTCTTAATCCTCTTTAAAGTAGATAAATAAAAAAACAACAGATAAGTACATAGGAAACACTTTCATAGGAAATAATGTCATCAGTACCCTCTTACAAATGTCATATTTCCCACTTTTTGGGACAATAAAACATTTCTGATTCTCAATCAGATGTTTTTACATTTGAGGTAAAAACATCTAATTGAGAATCAGAAATGTTTTATTGTCCCAAAAGCTGGGAAATTTGTTTGCTGCAGCAGATGTGTAACAAGTAAAATGGAATCAGATTGATGTATGTACAAATTTACATGAAATACACATTTACATGATTAAATATGTATAATAAGTATGTGTGTTGAAATGAGTTTTTACAGTTATTGCACATTAAACAATGTACATGTTATTAAACAAATTTCCCGGTTTGTGGGACAACCAAGGATTTCTGATTCTGACTGTCTTGTTCACAGAAATGTAATGTACAGCTTACCTCTGCACCCAGCTGCTGTTGTTCTCCCTGGCCAAACGTCCTCCGTTTCCCTCGTCGAGCTGCATGGCAATGTTAGCTTTGCCTAGCATGGCTAGCTTCACCGTGTTGTGCATGTGTGCCCGGGATGACTCGTGTTTCTTCACCTTTAGTCGAGACTCTCCGAGTTCTACCGAACACCAACGAAAGCCTTTGGCGGTAGCTCTATCGCCCATCATGCTTCTGAAACAACGTTGACGCTGATTGGATACATTCCAATTCCTACCGTTTGATTTTCTTGTCAGCAATTGGCCGACTGGTCCCGTTCTGTTTGGGCGATTGAAACACAGCCCACAGCCTTTCTGTCGCCTCCACAGCTCGGCAGAGAGCTTCTGACCAATATATATATATATATATATATATATATATATATATATATATATATATATATATATATATATATATATATATATATATGATTTGTTTTTGTTACAAAACACACAATTAACTTAGAATATGTGATTATTGTTAATTTTATTTATTTTTTTAAATAAAAATTAAAAACACTGGGGAAAACTGGGAGGGCGGCGCCCTATCGCCCTCTACTGGCCAGCCGCCACTGATCTGTAGTTTATTGGTAACCAGCGTAGAGATTTAGGATTAGCAATGATGTGCTTAGATCTCTTGGTTCTTTTTAAGGCTCTAGCAGCAGAATTCTGAATGAGCTGCAGTTGCTTCACAGCAAGACCAGACAGAAGATCATTGCAATAGTCCAGCCTGCTGAAGATGAATGCATGAGTGCTCCAGATATGGTCTGAACATGAGTACAAGGGACATAATGTATAAAAGAAAATTGAAAAACCTGTACATGTATAAAACAAACTAAAACATCACAAATCAGACTCCAGAATCTGATGGCTGAAGGGTAAAATCTGTTTTTAAAGATGTTTTTCTGATCCTGAACCTTCTATAGAGCTCCGGACGTCACGTGACTCTCAGAGAGTAGACGCCATGTTGGCAGGCAACAAATGTAAACAAACTGAACGGGATCGGCTTGGATTTTAATTTGTCGGAGTTGACTTCACACTTTAAAACCGAAGAAATCGTTTTATATAGTCAGAACATGTCCGACCCTTACCGTGCCCCTGGGATACTTTTTTAAAACACCAGAAGCCGTTGGAGCGGACTTCTTACCGGACCTGGCCGGGGAACCCCTTGGGATTCCCCCGCAGGAGCTGGCCCAAGCGGCTGGGGAGAGGGAAGTCTGGGCCTCTCAACGCTACTGCCCCCGCAATCCGACTCCGGATAAGCGGATGAAAATGGATGGACAAATAACAGATTTACACGTAAGTAGTTTAAACAGAGTGCTGTGCTGTTTGAATGTACTGAACGCCAAGAGAAATCACTAGTTTGATTTTTTTCCGTGAAAAAAATAAATATGTCGGGCAGGAGCGTCTCAGGATCTGTCTGAGAGCTGTCTCGGTGAGACAGATAATAGCAATCCAAAGTGCTTTTTATGTGTGATCTGACAATTGATCAACCATTGCTTAAAAATTAAATACAGCTTAGCCGGTTAATTCCTGTGATCATAAAACACGTAAACAGTAGCATGCAGAAACACAAGGCAACGTTTTACTTGATGTTTACTTGCTGCTATGAGTAATAAGACAGAAAAAGCCACGCCAAAATAAGTTTAAGAAGCCCACTAAGAATCGTAATAAAAGCATTTAAAATAAATACCATACACAGTTGAGGAAACGTTGGTTTAAGTACCTGATATGAAGTGGTCGCTGAATAAGCGAAAACCTTTACTCTCTGGGTCCCACAGTTTCATTTTCGCCCGGTCACTAGCTCGTTTTATTACAATGATCCAACGTTTGTGGCGCTCCAGATATTGGGGAATCCTGTAGATGGCTCATTCCTTATGTCGTCCACGTCTGTTCTGCATCCTGGGGCACAACAGGAATCTACCATATTTCCCGTTTGATTGAGTTTTCTGACAATAACAAATAGTCCAGCTGCCGTTTCGATTTGAACTGTTGCATGCCGGGAGAAGTGACATCAACTCCCGGAGCTCTATAGGAAGGTTGAAGTGTCTCTGAGAAGCATGTGAGAGGTCAGACAGGGATTTTTTTTAACGTGGTGAAGCAGCAAGAGCTGGCATTGAGCTGACTCTGTCACTCCCTGTAGGTCTTTCCCTCCTGCTGCGGTGCAGCCATACCACACTGTGGTACAGTACACCATTAGCCTTTCTAGCTGATGGAAGATCAGCAGCAGTTTGACCACCAGGTTGTTTTTCCTCCACAATTTGAGAAAACGGATTCTCTGCTGAGCTTTTTTGACAACCCCTGTCATGTTTGTGGCTCATGTTGGATTATCAGAAATGCGCACCCCCTGACGAAGAGGATTCTCTCAACACAGTCCTTGTTAAAGGAGCTCCTGAAGTTCTGCACTCTGTCTTTTGTTTCACTGATGTTCAGCCACTGGTTGTTCCCTGAGTTTTACACAGAGGCTCTGAACCTCCTCCCCTGTATGCCGCGTGGTCTCCGTCTTTCTAAAGACGACATAGCAGGCCGACATACCTCCTTAGTGAAGCCAATTTAAGGTCAGGCACATCCCAGAGCAGCTCAGTGTTGCTGCAGAACTTAATTTAAATGTACATTTATGTTCCTAAATAGCATCACCATAAAAAATGCTCTAAAGAATTATTTGACAAAAATGTATTTTTATTTACCAGTTTTGAGTATTTGATACTTGGTCAGTTCAATGATTTGTTTGATTAACTAGTTATATGTCTGGCACTTTTAAACTGTATTCAACTGATCTTATTGTAGACACATTTTAGCATGCAAATAAAGTGGAAAATGTTTAGATATCGGCCATGAAAATCAACCCAAAAAATTGGCAGCACATATGGGCCATCGGCTGATCGTGACCTCAACGTATCGGCATCGGTTTTGGCAATCAAAAAAACAATACTGGTTGGCCTTTAGTCCCGACCCAAGGCAACAATGAACGTGTACAGCACAGTCATATGGTGCCCTCCATGAATTATGGAATGATTAAATCGATATGGTTTGAGATTTAAATGGCTATGATAAACTGTATTTAGCCATTTGTTGGTTTAGCTTTGATGGCATTGTCATTTTCATAGTTTCAAATCTTTTCTTGCTCTTTAACATTTGGAGTCTTTCTCTATGATTAAAACTGTGACGATTATATACAGAATGTTGAAAGATCAATAAACAAACAGTCAACTGAACCAGATGTGGTGGTGTGTGGTGAAATACCTACAACAGGAATGGAATACAGAAAGAACACAACTCTGGGTTCACCAATGCTCTCTTAAGCAATATTTTTCATCCTTTCATGTGTCAAATATAAAAACCTCTGTCAGCATGTTTTTTAACATGAATGGTGCGTTTAAAGCTTCTTTTGTTTTTACTTTGAAATAAAAGTAGGACAACCAAATGAATGACTTGTTTTCACCACTTATATTCTGGAGAGGTGACACTGTGCTTATAACAAAACTATCATTCATTCATAAAATCTTTAAGCCACTGCTGCATTGTGGTGCTATTTTGTATGCAGACAAAAGAAGTCCAATGTCCCAAAAACTTGAGTGTTTCATTTGTTTGTCTGATTTGAGAAGCAATAATTATCCATCTTTGTTTGGTTTCCTGCTGTTTCTCCTGCGCTGGTAAAAATAAAAATAGGTGCACACCAGCGCATGATGCTGGTCCAATATCATTTATAGAAAGAAGGCCCAGAGTTCTTCCTGGCTGACCTGACTTCTAATGATAAAACAAACAAAAATGAAATAATTGTTACCACTAAACTTTGCAAGGCATCCAAAAATATAAAGAAAGCAAATAACTCATTTTAAAAATCTGAATAACAATTAAAGGATAAATAGCTCTACGGGGCTCTTTACACTGGATTTACTGACAGTATGTGGAGCTGACTCTACAAGGCGGAGGTTTATCAGAAATGAATGTCCAGGTCTGTCCTCTTGGACGTTCTCATCTCCGTGGTGAACTCAGCTACCACCAGCAGAGGGCGCCCTGCACCACGTCTATCCACGCTGTCCGGAAGACCTGTGTAATTTTTTTTTTTTTTACCTGCGTAAATATTGTCGTGCTGTTTCTACTCAGTCACGTCCATCCGCTCAGCACATCAGCAGCTTCAGTTCATGACAGCTCTGGTTCTTCTAGCCACGGATTGTGACTCCACAGCTCCTTCTCTCTACTGCTGCCTCTCCTGCTCAACAACATGCAGAAAAGGAGGAAACCAGAACCGATCCAGCTGAACCCGATTCCTGATGGGAACGCTGTCAACGGAACCGGAGCCTCTGAGTGAGTGATGCTTAGGTTCTCATCCAAAATCTGCATCATCTGCGTTAGATTCAGGAGAACGGATGGGTGTGTGTCTGTGCGTCAGTTATGAGACTGCACCAGGTGTGTGTGTGTGTGTGTGGTGTGTGTGTGTGTGTGTGTGTGTGTGTGTGTGTGTGTGTGTGTGTGTGTGTGTGTGTGTGTGTGTGTGTGTGTGTGTGTGTGTGTGTGTGTGTGTGTGGACCGATTATAAACATTGCTGATTATAGGGAGCCGTCACTTCCACACCATGGGTCCCCGGAGGAACGAAAAAATGAATGCAAATCAATGGGGCTTAAAACGCTATTTTTTAATTCCGCTTGTTTTTAGCCATGGCTTTCACATATGATGTCCGTGAATTTTAAAGACGCGTTTTGATACCAAGGACGTGTTTATTTTCGAACAGAGGGAAACGATATTTTAGTTTTTGTGTGAAAAGAAGTCCAGGACTACAAATGCGATTCATGAAAGTGACGTCATCGAACCAGACACTGACAAAACTGAAGGAACATGGCTGTAAATTCATCAAACTTCCCACAGGAAGAAAGAACCATCATAAATCTGGTCATGTAGTTAGTAGCAGCTATTTTGGGAGAGGAGATAATGTGGTGACGTCACATATGCGACGTACCGATTTCTAGTTTGTAGTCATGCATTTACAAGCTAATAAATCTCTAAGTACGTGACTGGCATGGTCAAAACACCCACCATTAGTTTTCATTTAAATTGCAGTACAACATATGTGTGATCCAGGGTGTAAGACAAAGCGGATTAGAAAATAGCGTTTTTAGCCCCGTTGACTTGCATTCATTTTTTCGTTCTTCCGGGGACCCATGATGCGGAAGTGACTTAAGCTCCCTATAGATACATCCTTAGATAAATAGTAATATTATATTTACCTAAATGAAGAAATTATTGATTTTTCTAACTAAACTTTGGTGATTTTTGCTCCATCTGTTGAATAGTCTGATTATATATATATATATATATATATAGATAGATAGATAGATAGATAGATAGATAGATAGATAGATAGATAGATAGATAGATAGATAGATAGATAGATAGATAGATAGAGATTATTATTGTCACTAATAATATATTTATTATTTGTTCTTAATATTAGATTCAAATCAATTTTTAACATTGCTACACATGTTTTTAAAAAACTCAATATTTGCTTAACTTTATCAGCAATCTTAAGTTAATACATAATAAAGGTTGAATTTTCAGATATCTGCAGGTGATAATCCAGAATTCTTAATTCCTTAATTTAACTGAAAATGTACAGATTCAGTTGTTTCAGAACCTGCAGTTAATCTGACATTTCCAGATATTATCAATAATTTATTAAATGTTTGTTTTTGTCATAACTTCATTTTAACCCTTTGATGCATAATGGTCACTACAGTGGACAGGTACTCAAAATTGTTATTTATTTGTTTTTGCTATTAAGCACAACTGTTGAAGACTTTATTGCATTTGAGCCCCTCCGTTTGGACTTCAGTAAGCCAAGCCAACATATTTCATGCTCAGAATGCATGCTGCCCACTGAAGTGGACATGTAATAAATTATTTGTAAATTATAAAATTTTACAAAAAATATTTGTTGAAATTTGTTTCATTCACACCTAAAGACGAATGAAAAAAATTGTTTAAAAAATCATGGTTGAAGATTTCATAATTCATGCATCAAAGGGTTAATTTTGTTGCGTGATTGGATCAAAGTGCAATAAACCTCCTTTATAAGTAGCTTCATGCTCACTGTGCAGCAAAGCAGAATGCTAAATAATCATTTGTTCATTAATTGGTGCAGCAGCTTTCTTCCACCACTTTCTAGGGGGCTAAAACAATGTAACAGAGATATAAACTTGTTGTGACATTGTGCTAAAGTCTAGTTTTGTTCTGTGGAGACAAGCACAGTCATTCTTACTGGATCAGCTGAGAGGAGAATTGCATAACATCAGCCAAAGTGAGAACTGCTTCTGTAAAGTGTTGTTGAGGCACAATATTTCATTGTTCCATCATTAGATCACACATGTGGAGGCCATCTGTGGACTCTGCTGTGAATATTTAAAAATGCAATAAGCTAAAATCAAACTGCATTAGATAGAAATAAAAACGTGACAGTTCTGAGAGGTATAATTCAGAATAGATGCAAATCAGACATCTGTTTGACGATTTCAGCAAGGCTGGATTTAAATAAAACCAATCTAGTTAACTAACTATTAAATCTATTGTGCAACAGAAACTGATGATGGTGACATAATATTTGTTGAGGCGTTCACATTCCTCCTGCTGCTCTAGGGCAGGCTGCAATGGGACAAGGGGCAGACGAGGCAACAATGATGATTCAGAGATTTGGAATCTTTTCTCTGTTTAAACTCCACTGTTGTGCCCTGTGATAAATCTGTTGACAAAAGTTTGATAAACTGGTTCTTTATCCTACAAAAGAGCAGTCTTAGCCTTCTAAAGCTTTGAGGCATAGTTTTTTTTATTTTGAAAAGTGTTTCTTGTAAAAAACTGATACATTTTACTACTCAAATGTAGCAAGTGCCTTGAATGAGCGTCATTCAAAGGGATTGTATTTATGATCTTCTGGATGGATGAGCTAACGGCTAGGCTAAACACAGCCAAGACCAACGTGTGTTGCAGCTTTTTTAAAGCTGCTGTAAAGTTTAGAACACTGGAGCAGGTTAGCAGTTTCTTTAGCAGTTCGTATGCCAAATTTTGACAAGAAAAATTATGAATTTTCCGAATGGATCCACACCCAAAGACATTTTGACACATTAAAACAAGTCATTTTACAAACCTTTGTGCTACCAAAAATTGGAGGGTGAAATGAAGTAGAAAAAGGACAAGGATGGTATTTATAGTCTGGATAAACATATCCTGAAATGTGAGTGGTGCTCCAACATTCTTCTTTGTATGCAGCAATAGCAGTAGCTCATGATAACGTTAGCTGTAGCTCAGAATCAAGTTAACAGTAATAGCATTAGCAGTGGCTCAGGGTAGTGTTAGCAATAGCTCAGCATAGCTCAGGGTAGCACTAGCAGTAGCTCAGGGTAGTGTTAGCAATAGCTCAGCATAGCTCAGGGTAGCACTAGCAGTAGCTCAGGGTAGTGTTAGCAACAGCTCAGCATAGCTCAGGGTAGCATTAGCTGTAGCTCAGGATAGCGTTTGTGGTAGCTCAGGGTAGCATTAGCAGTAGCTGAGGACAATAATAGCAGTAGCTCGGTCGAGAGTTAAGAGTAGCTCTGGCTAGCCTTTGGGCTATAGCGTTGTTCAGCAGTAAGTATTACTGCGACCAATGTTAAAATGCTGAAGGGGGTTGGAACAATGGAATTTAATGAAGGGTGTGTGTCTCTGCTTATAACATGTTCAACCAGCTTTTTGCAGAACAAATATTTTCTCTGTGACCATATAGCATTACTAATTTGCATAGGATAGCAGATTGAAGATGGTACAGACCTTTTGATATAGTACATTTGATAATCTGTCAACAACAAATAAAATGTAGGACACCTTTAATGTTCTCCAGCAGGAAGTGCTTCATTACGCTGCTTCTGGGGATATTTAGGCTACCGTAAATCCTCTAATACAGGCTGGTATTCAATTAAAGGCCGGGTCTCCAATTTTGGCCGGTGTCGGAGTCGGCGGAGGTGAATAATGGCCGGTTTCTTATTGTGGCCGGGTGGAATGTGGTAACAAGCAAGTACGGGGCGGTTGTGTCATCGTCTCACTTTTGATTTGCCAGTGATAGACCGCGAGGATAACTTTAACCGTGCAGAGGCAAAGAGGAGGCGAAAATTTGATATCAAGTTCAAAGAGAATGTGCGCTGCAGAATACTGGGGAGCAATAGGGGTTGTATGAACTAGTCGACTTCACTATAGTGACTTTTTATGCCTGTCGTTGACTAGTCGCTGTCATGTGATAATGACCGGCAAGATGCAGCCCTCGGAAAAGACAGCAGCCTGCTGTCAGCAGGTGACAAGCTCCTGCGCTCGGGTGGGCAACGCGCTCTGCCAGAGCGTCGGTACTGACACGCGATCGTTCATGTCGGTTCATTTCCTTTAATGTTTTCTGTCTTTTATTTGCGCCTGATGTGTTTCGCTGCTGTGGAGCGGGTCACATCACCTTGTCCTCCGACGCACTGATCACTGATGCGGCCGCCAAGCAGCGAGCACTCCGCTGTTTTTGCGGTCGGTAATCTGCCTCCTGAGCACGGCCACAGTAACAATCAGGTGTTGCCAAATTATTTAACACGCGATCGTTCATGTCGGTTCATTTCCTTTGATGTTTTCTGTCTTTTATTTGCGCCTGATGCGTTTCGCTGTGGAGCGGGGCGCATCAACTTGTCATCCGGTGACGCACCAATCACTGATGCGGCCGGCAAGCAGCGAGCACTCCGCTGTTTTTGCGGTCGGTAGATCTTTTAGAACTGCAGTTCAAAGGTAACTCATAAGGTGAATATATATGAACCCAGGTAGCAGTTTCTCTTTAGGATTGAGAGGAGATGCAGGAAGATAATAAACAGGCAGGACAGAAAAATAGTCAAATAAAAACAAGTTAGTTTTTGTACCTGGTGGTTGCAACAAACAAACACCATTGAATGTAATCAGAAGTGAGGAACAGAAAATGAAATCATTATTTTAATGTTTAGAGCAGCAGGAACTCTGAGAGGCTGCAGGCGCATCAGTGAGTTTGTGGCCGCTGCGCAGGGGGAGGGGGGAGAGGGCTGAAGCAGAAACTACCGTTGTTAAAAGAAATGTGTTTAACTTTGAAAATGTATCCTAAATAAAACATAATTCCATGTTTTAAAAACATATATATATTTTGATTATATATTTATATATTTATAAATAAGTATATATATATATGTATATATATATATATATATATGTATATATATATATAATTACAAAACTGAAAAAATGGAAGGTTTTATGAAATCAAGTTACATAAAACTGTGTGACATTTT